TTGTAAAAATGATAAAGTGAAGAAAAGAGAACAATAATGGAGAAAGCTTTCAAAAATATGGCATGACAAGTGACTACCTGCTTGAGGAAAGTGTCAAACGAATGTGTGAACTCCCTTTTCGCTGCAAGATATTTGATGCACCATGCTACATCAGATTCGAGCATAGAGCTACCAAATCGCCTGAAGAGAGTATAAAACTTCTAGAAAGAATTAAATGACGATAGAATTATAGGGTAGAGAAGGCTATGTGTAAAACAAACTTGGCATTTTCGTATCTTCGTTGCCTGTCCTTCTTCTTGCTGAGTAAGTCAACCAGAAAGATCTTTTGGGCTTGAGCTCGCTTGACCTTTTTCAAATGTCGGGATTCATTCTTTCGATGTTCCTATAGAAACCTCCATATTGAGTAACAAAGACACTCACATCACACATGATTACAAGAGGGACAAGAATCATGTTGTGACTGAAAGAGCATGGGCTTGCCTTCTCCGACAAATTCTCGCGTTTACTTTCAGCATACCGTGCCTCAAGCTCTTGCAGATCCTCCAATATCTCTTTGTACCATACGCAGCAGTAAAAACGAACAGCATACTAGAAAAGATAAAAGATTTTAAATCGTTCAAGAACATGGATTCCAAAATTCTTCAGTAACTTACTTCAACAGTAATATCTTTATTCACAACTATATAGTCAAGCAAAGCACGTTCTAGTTCCATTTGTTTCTCACTGAATGTCATCTGCAATCAAAATGCTCTTTCAAACTGGTTGATAAAATCTACTTAGTTCGTCTATCCTTTAAGGGAGAAACCTACGTCTGAGATATCTACGTCAGCTACACTTGGCCACAAAGAAGTTCCATCCTCTTGCAAATTCTCCTCAAATTTTATGGTCCTCACAACGAGCTGAAACAGAATCAAATGAAAAGCTGCATCAAAGGTCGTTTCACTTGATGAATAAAAACAGGGTACAAAGTTCAAGATAAGATCCGATCAAAATATACTATGTAGAGAGAATAATAGACTCACATCCATGCGCTCTCTTGAATCTTCCACTGACCAAATCATGCTGCTACGCAATCGCGACGTAATCAAACCAAGATATTCCAAGCTTACCGTGCGTATATTAATATCAGCACTTTTATTTCTAAACGAATATATGAATTCGCAAGCAGACAAAAACAAAATAAAGGCGTACCTGCAGTTCTTCACCAGTAAGTTGCCCACAACCTGTAGGAACATTTCAGCTGCAGGGAATTCTGGTTTGTTAAATGCAGTCAGCATGTCTTGCAGAAAAGTATCAAACAATGCTCGGTAGTCTTCTTCACCTTCGCTCTTATTCCCTTTCGACGAACATCTGAGGGATCAAATTTGCGAAAGTAGTAATATGAAGAATATCTAACGTTAAAGCTAATAGCCAGAATGGAGATCAAATCATTACAATGCATAGGTTCCATAGCCTCCAAA